GCGTCCATCCCGCGGCTTCGAAATCCCGGCGGGACCACGTTGGTCACGCCGCGTCCTGGCACGCGAGGTCCCCGCTGAAACTGTACACCAGCGGAGCTCCAGACCATTGACCCCGGCGGCTGCGACGGGGCGCGGTGGTCGACGGCGACCTGCCGCAAGGACTTTCCGGAAGAGGCCGGTGGCCGAGTTGTAGCCAGAGGGTGGGGTTCAGACCTCCTGGTCGCCTGTCAGCCGTAGGAGGCTCGGGAGCGGTGGGTGGACCCAGGCAGAGTATCTGGGCTGGGGTCCGGAGGTGCAGGGCTCAGTTCTCAGACTTGCCGATATGCGTGAGAATCACTAGGACGCCTGTTAAAAATTCAGATTCCTGGGCTTTACCCCTGGAAATGATGACTTTGGAGGGAAATATGCGTATTTAAGCAGTTTTGCAGGGATTCTAAGTTTTGGGTTTCTGCAGTGGGTTAATAAGGCTGGGACCCGGTTTGGCGTGAAACGATTTGAACCCTGGTCTTAATCCTGTCACGAGCTTTGTATCCCTGGCAGGTCAGTCAACTTCGCTTGTAGTTGAAGCCCTGTAGAGCGTCACCCAGGGCGAGCGCTTAGTAGGACTGACCGATTTTCCCTTTCACACTCCCACCTCCAGCAAGCTTCCTCCTTGACTCCTCTTTGAGGGAGGCCATCAAAGGTACAGTAAAGAGGTTTATACCTTACACTTGAAACAGGAACTGCCAGGCACCAGCTTCCAGATCCTTGCAGTGAGGTAAAAGCCTCAACTTGAAGACTTGACCCGGAGGTGTCTGGGGCCCCACAAGGCCTGCCTGGGCCTCACTGCCTGCCCTGGATGACTCCCCTCCCCTCCCCCACAACGAAGGTGTACACTCCTTTACCCCTTGACCCTTTGGCCCCTTGGGATATGAACTGCCTGAGCCTTCCCGGATGTATCCCAGTGTTCTGTGCCTCAGAGCCACCCACACTGGCTGTTCCCTCAACCTGGAATCCCCTTTTGCTCTGCCTTTTTTTTTTTTTTTTTGTCAATATACACTGTATATGATTATTATGGCCCATCACCGACAC